CAACAACCAAGATCTGCATACTATTGAGTTACATAGTATTTTATTGGAATCCATGACTCAACATTTTCAGTCTCATGAGTGGGTATGCCCAAAACRATAGACACTGCTCTGGGTGCCAAAAAGGACAAATTGAAATTTTTGGTCCCCCCTCCTGTCTCCTTGTCCTGCCTTACAAGAAGAACATCCAGCATTTCTTTGTTTATYAGTATGGGATTCCGTCCCAAAGTCCCAAAACGGGGGGGATATGTACTTGCAGCATGCATGCCATGGTGTCTTCACTACTAGTAGCAGCCACTACCAGCAGCAGCACTCCAGAAAACATTCCCGCAGCGCGCATCCATACAGCATGATGATAGTACTACTAGTAGCAGCAGCTACTCCTAGTAGTAGCAACAATAACAACCACCACCAGCATAAATGGATTTCTTATGTTCTTACTACTACTACTAGTAGTAGTATCAGCAACACCAAGAATGAACCAGCAGCAAGAAGAAGAACAAGAATACCCAACAACAACAAGCACCAACAATAGTACCACCACCACCACCACGACAACAATCTTCTTGTTGAGTAGTAGCTAGTACTACTACTACTACTAATTAGTAGCAGCAATGCAAATGTCATACCACCAGTTAGTAAGTTCACTCTTTATTGCAAATCCCCTAATACTACTACTAGTAGGTGGCACTACTAGTAGTAGTAATAATGTAATACAAATGGGAAATAGTAGTAGTAGTAGTAGTAGTACCGCTTTGTACTGGGCCTGATAGTCTCGACTACTTCGAATCCGATAAGCACACATTCACTCTGAGTGAAGATCAGTACCAGTTTGGGTGCAAAATAAGACGTGACAGCTTTTTAACGGTAGGGATTCTACAGGACTCTAGGAACATAAAGCTGTCACTTAGTTCCACCTGGAACCAAAAAGGAACTATTTTATATCAAATTATTTGCTTATTTGCTAGTATTTTGGAGCTTTCCAAGCTAGTTGATTTTTCGTCGATTTTGCTACTGGTAGTAGTTACAGCCCTGTTCCTCCAAAACCACTCAGTCGATCAATACGATACTTCCAGATCCTTGAGCCCTTGATGTAAGGATTACAACACTTGTCTTGTGAGCGCAATTGGATGGATATTGATGAAGAACTAAAGGTGACAGCTTGCTTTGCTCCTTGTGGTTGGGTTAATGAGTTTTTCGGAAAATTCCGTACGCTGAGAAATCAGCAAGCCCAAAAGGGTTTTCAAAAAAAAACACCCAGTAATGTGCACATCACTATGAAGAGAAAAGAAAACCATTTCTGGCTGACGGATTCTCTAATTCTGATGGAGGCTTTGGGGGGCTTTAACAAGCAAGCAAAGTTAGCAAAAAACTGGCACGTTTTATGTACTCATAACCTGATAGAAATGGATAGTCTTATTTCGCACCCAAACTGGTAGTCTGCAGTCCGTATTTCTACTTYAGTCGCGCGATTTACCACGTCATCAGATACCGTGATATTGAATGAAGAATGTATTCTAAGATTTTGGTGCCTCGTAAAAGGAGAAGAGGTTTGATNAAATTTATTTTGCAGTATTTCAACCCATACTCACTCAACCACTGCTCAATATTTTTACTTTGGGGGGGCCTGATACACAACCTCAGCAGTTACGATAACAATAACCTCCGACCATGACTCTTGGAATTGAAACTYAACAAGATTTACACATGTAAATTGTATTACTCTAAAATAACCTTGGTGGAATCACTATTGTGGAACAATCATTCTGCTACCGTAAGGTTTCAAATGTATGAAACAACCAGGTTCAATCGCTATAATGAATGAATTCTCCTACTCATGCTTTCATGCAATAGTACTAAACTTCTTCCACGACAGTCCCCACCCTTCCCAAAATTAAATGGTTGTGGGCCCACAGGCKCATTGGTTAGGTTTCTCAAGCTTTTGCAAACATGAATGTTGTCCATCATGGTAACGTCAACCCTGGGTTTGGAGTCAGTTGGTAGGATAAGAACTCTACCATTCTTCCTTCTACATTCCTCCCTGAGCCAATCTCTCATGCGTTTTTTGAACAGCTCTCCTGTTTGAGGGTCCTTTCTGAGATCCTTACTCTCAGCACACACCATTTGGTACAGAAACTTCCCCTCTGGAGCCCATCTGTCTCTCCTTCTGCTTCTTGCATTGCAGAATCTCTTCAGCAGCTCAACCTGTCTWTCTTTCTCAGGAGGTAGGACCCCCACACATGAAGTTCATTGTAAAGCATTAGGAGTRCAAAGGTCTCGTCCTCCACACTGAAAATCTCACTGAGCAAATGCTATATCCCCTTCTTATTTATGTTGAAATTGTTATTCACAACAAGCTAGTAGGCTACTAGCATGTCCGTAGTACTACTAGTTAGATATTGATGAGAGGAAACATCTGTGCAGTGGTGAGGATACTAGTAGTAGTAGTAGTACTAGTGGTACACCAATGGTTCATTCCTGACAACATTGATCTTTGTCTTTTTTGACTGGCCTGCTTCTTGGTTTATGTACTATCTCAAGTACATAGACAATTCTGGTTGTAGCTCCCTGCTTGCAACAACCAAGATCTGCATACTATTGAGTTACATAGTATTTTATTGGAATCCATGACTCAACATTTTCAGTCTCATGAGTGGGTATGCCCAAAACGATAGACACTGCTCTGGGTGCCAAAAAGAACAAATTGAAATTTTTGGTCCCCCCTCCTGCTGTCTCCTTGTCCCTTACAAGAAGAACATCCAGCATTTCTTTGTTTATCAGTATGGGATTCCGTCCCAAAGTCCCAAAATGGGGGGGATATGTACTTGCAGCATGCATGCCGTGGTGTCTTCACTACTAGTAGTAGCTACTACCAGCAGCACCACTCCAGAAAACATTCCCGCAGCGCGCATCATCCATACAGCATAGTAGTAGCAGCAGCTACTCCTAGTAGTAGCAAGAATAACAACCACCACCAGCATAAATGGATTTCTTATGTTCTTACTAGTACTAGTACTATCAGGAACAAGAATGAACCAGCAGCAAGAAGAACAAGAATACCCAACAACAACAAGAGGAAGCACCAATACCACCACCACCGCCACCACGACAACAAGAATCTTCTTCTTGAGTAGCTACTACTACTAATTAGCAGCAATGTCATACCACCAGTTAGTAAGTTCACTCTTTATTGCAAACCCCCTAATACTACTAGTAGTAGGTGGCACTACTAGTAGTAGTAATAATGTAATACAAATGGGAAGTAGTAGTAGTAGTAGTAGTAGTAGTAGTACCGCTACTGGGCCTGATAGTCTCGACTACTTTGAATCGGATAAGCACACATTCACACTGAGTGAAGATCAGTAGTCTGCAGTCCGTATTTCTACTTCAGTCGCGCGATTTACCACGTCATCAGATACCGTGATATTGAATGAAGAATGTATTCTAAGATTTTGGTGCCTCGTAAAAGGAGAAGAGGTTTGATGTACTTCGTAGTGACATATTCTAAGGATTTTGATTGGTGTGACTTGATGGGTGTCATCGATATTTTCCATTTTTAGAAGGTAGATATGACAGTAAATTCTTTTTTCAAAGAGTTGGCCCCCTTTGGGATCCGGTAGCTGACGACATTCTTCTCATTGATCATGTTCTTCATTTCGACCTCTACGATCAAATTGTKAAAATCCTTCCCCTTCCAGCCCTACATTTGGAAATCGAAGGATTTTCTTCGCCGTCAGAAATATTTACACGTCAGTGCCTCCAGTGGATTTTTCTAAATTCATAATACAATGGTTGGGAAAGCCAGGTACCGCCAGATACGCACTACTTCTTCTGAAAATGTGTGCCACGTCCTCATTCGGAACATCTGTTTCGGATCACTCATTACATAAAGAACATCTTTTTTTTGTTTTCAATGTTCACAAAATAWGTCGACTGTTTCTTTGAGCCATCACGACCCCGTACAATGACTTTACATCTCACTTCTTCCTGCAATCGTCACCACTTACCATCTGCCGTACCCTTTGCTACCTTACGGTATTGTTTCCATGATACGTGGGAACTTCGACCCATCAACTCTTGGCATCTGCTTGTCACTGACTGCTCCGATTTATTCTCTTCCGGAGAACAACACATCAGCAGAGCGGGTCCCCTTAAGAGTTTTTGATTTTTTAAAAACGAACGAACGAACGAACGAACAAAGATGCGAAGTACAGTATTTGGCATTGCCTGTCGCCTCACGCTTTCTTGGACGAAATACGTACTTCTTAATACTATCTTAGAATAACCATCTACCGTACGTCTTTGTTGGTGACCGCAGGAAACCGCAACAACTGCCTTACCTATCTACTCCAAATCGTCACAGCGCTCCTTTTGTGCTTMTCCAACCTCCAACAAGCTCTAACCCATACATTGAAGTGACAATTCGTGTCGTTATCAAGAATCACTGTCCATTCGTAGTCCATACCTGGCATTCCAAACGTAATTAGCGAGACGGAAACGCAACAAATCAACTCGATTCGAACAGCAACGCTAGTGAGAGTAGGGGAGGCGAAGCGGCGGCTACCTAGTATCTATATACTGTGTAGAAGGACAGGATCRTTAGTGACAAATTGTCTTTCTAGCAGCATCTACTGATACGGTAGGAATACGATTGGATAGGAACTCCGATTGTGGCATCCCGCAGCCGATCCTACTCTACTATATTTGATCAGCAACTTACCCTGCAACTTACTTCTACTGGCTAGCAGTAGGAAACCTACAAATAAACGAATCGAGAATTGYACMGCACAATGAACCATTACCACCACAACATGACTGGTAGTGTCGCAGGAGCCGTAGGAGCTTCTGTTCACCAACATCACCACCAACAACRTCAGCTTCCGATCGCCCCCCTCCCACCCATGGCAGTCGGACAAAAACGGAAGCTAGTTGCCTCTAACAGCGCTTCAGCAGTGACCTCGGTAGCCGATCTCCAATCGACCACAGTTGGTCCCAGAAACAACATCAGCACTCAGATGCCCAGACGAGACACGGCTCCGGCCATGATTAAGACCCACTCGGGATCATCTCTCCCTCCGACCACGCCCGTTCCCTCGATGTCTCCCTCAGACTACTGGAAGGGACTTCTAGGCGAATGGAACGTTCCCATTCTGGACACAGTTGGCATCGAACAGGATGATACAGGTGACCGCGTCGAATTTCTTGAGACGACTCCGGATCGGATCGAAGCCTACCAGAATATCGAGCTTCTGACGGCCGTTCGGAGGAGGGACTTGGCCACTCTCAAAAGGATAGCCTGCGACAATGCAGCCAACAACTCCACCATGAACGCTTGCAACCGGTTTGGAGAGAGCATACTGCACCTGGCTTGCCGAAAAGGCAGCGTGGACGTGGTGCAGTTTCTGGTCGGGACGGATCGAGGCTGCAACTGCAGCCTGTTGCTCCGAGACGATTATGGCCGCACGGTGCTGCACGATGCCTGCTGGACCATCAGCCCACCCTGGGTGCTCATCAAGCTTATTTTAAAGAAGGCGCCCGTCTTGTGGCGGGTTAGCGATGTCCGAGGACATCTGGCCCTGCAGTACATTCCAAAGAGCGCGTGGCCCCAATGGATGTCCTTTTTGACCAAGAACAAAGAGTTGCTGAAGCGGGTCATGATTCATTCGTATCACCGCGTCGATATTGCGCAGCAACAAAATYACGTTCCACAGAATCCTCCACAAGGCGATCAGTCTTCTTCGCACGCTCCCGTTGCTGTAGTGGGCTCCAATCCAATAGTCGCCAACCACTCGTCTTCGACGGTGACTTCTACGTCCGGAGGCCTTCCCCAGCATCATCAACAACAGACATCGCATCCTCTTCAACACAATTCTCACAACACTATACCTATTGCGGGTGATCGGACCAATTCTATTACTGGAGCAACACCGGCACTGCCCCTAACGACTGCAAACCATTCCCTTTCAGCCACCACCGCTCCGGCCTCTGTTACTGCGCGGCCATCTACGAACTCCGTGTCGATTTCGGAGAAAGCGCATGCCGTCTTGGCCAAGGCCCTATCTCAGGCSAGCCCTGCAATGGTCCAGGCTCTTTCTCAGGGTGYCCAAGCACGGCAACTGAAGCAGGGCGTGCAAGCGATACCACCAGTATCTAGTGCTTCTCACACAGAACCAGCAAGACAACAGACYGCARATRCAACCGCACCACCTCCGCAAACGCATTCCCAAACGATAATAAAGCAAGAGCAAACTTCCGTTGTCTCCCGGCCGATGGCCACTGCATCTRGCGCACCGGCACCGGGACCCGCGACGGCTGCTCTCGACGAGGCACTAAAGGCACAGGCCGAGATGCGGGCTCAAAAGAGGTGCGAGCAGCAACAGGTTTCGGCGGCACCRAACCTACTACCCCACAAACAGGAGCAACCAACACAAGAACAGCAATCGCCATCGAAGCAGGCCCCACTGCCCTACGCTCCGTCGATCAGCATGATAGCGCAACGATTGGCTGGATACAAGAAGGCAACCACCATCAAAGAAAAGCAACTGAAACCACCGCAGCAAAAGCGCAAGGCGGTACAMCACCCTTCGCATGGAGAAAACGGGGAAGCGCAAGCTTCGGCAGAACCCATYCTCAATCCTCTCCCTGCGGTTCCAAATCCGCTGCTGACCACYAGTGAAAACGAGATGGTTCAAAACGAAGAACAACTCGCATCGCCATCTGTACTTCAGTCCTCCATGGTATTTTCTACCGATAGACCGACTGCTGCTTCCGTMCCGAATCCCATCATCGTGGCAGGGCAGGAAACTTCGTCGTCGATTCCTGCTGCTTCTACGGTCGAAAACTCTTCGGAAGAAGCTACCGCTGGAACCGAAGCCAAGAGTAGTGGTAATCCTTCCAGTAGTTGTTCCTCCTTGACCATGTCGGCATCCCCCAGCGAGAGGGAACAGCAAGAAACGTCATCGGAMAACTCCGAGACCACCAACAGCGATAGTACCAATGCAGCCGCTACGTCACAGAAGAAAGATCCTCAAGAAGGCACCGAAATCAACCATAATGATGAAAAGGATGGAGAAAGTTCGATGTCGGATGCCGACTACAACAAATCCGACCTTTCTGAAAGCAAAAAACGGGTTGTCGGTTGAGCAGTTCTCAACCGCATTCGTGGAATGTGCTTCTRATCGCTTTGCCTTTTGCAACTGGCAAACTCAAAATCAAATCGCATGCAACAAAAGGATGGGTTCACTCTGTGTTAGCATCACCATACCTTACCGCGACTCTTGGACGAGCGAGGGAACGAAGAACCGATGGGTTCTGACCACATGATCCGAGTACTACRAAAACTACGTTTTCCATCATTTGCTGTCCGGGACGAATCTAACGGGTATAACGTTTAGGAAAGATGATGTKTTTCAAGATGATCCTCTCTGTACGTCCCGTTTTTCTGAGGTCAAAYGAGCAAGTGAAACAAAATTATTTCCTCCGACAAAATTGATTGAGATAATGATTCTAAAAATACTTTAGATTAATGGAGAATGTTCGTTTTTTCACATGTTACGGCTTGTATGCCATTACTGCAATGTTTCTCCGGAACCACAGAGCGGTACAAACATCTTTCTCTACATCTATCTCAGCACGAGCGAAGATGTTGCAACAGTCCGAATCGTCAAAAAAACAGTATGATTATAAAATAATTTAATGCAAACACAAGMTTTCCTCGTACAGGATGTTGTAAGGAATGCAAGCTGCAAACGTTACGTTTTGTTCCAAGTATTGAGCAGCAAAAAGAATCACTGAGACAAAACATGAAAACTGTTCGTGAATACTGAAATGGATTGGGGAACTTAAATAGACAGCTCGATTGTTTTGKTAAGGTGAATGGAACCTTCGAGTGCTCCTCTTCTCGCTCGTTATGGTCAACTTGATCTCGATTGGTGGAGCGAAGAAGGCATCACTACCATGCAATAGAWAAAACATGGAAATTTTTCTCAAGCTTCTTTCGAMGACCCCATTGCTTGCTTGCTCGCCGGGTTATCAATCACGCACAAACCCCTTCAACGTTGATGGCGAAGGGAATGGAAACTGCGCATACGCTCCATAATTCTATCTGTGTATAAACGACACTGGATATTGGAATCGTCCTTGTCTTTTATCTTCTGTTCTACCTGTTGCCTSGGTTGATTTTTCCGCCTCGTCGAGCATAGGATGATGCTGCCGCTCCTCCGCGAACATATCCTGTTCTCGATCCATGGGATGACTGCCCAAATCTGTGCTCGTCGCTTCTCGAAGTAATAGGTGTCGGGCGTTTCTTCAACGTCGTTGAACCGGCAGCTGGCACTGTGGGTTCTACTCCGCCATCTTGCACCCATGAATCCCCGCTTGTTTGGGTGTCGTYGCTGAAGTTGCTGCTGTTGCTGTTGCCAGACTCAAGCGAGCCGCGTTGGTTGTCTTGAATGTTTTTACTTCCAATCACCACCCGTTCCTCCAATCCCGTGGCGACATCTTCATTTTCCCAATAGCCTCCGCCGGCAGCATAAAAGTCAGATTCATGAATAACCTCAACATCTTGAGAGATGTGAGGATAATACCGATACACGCCATCTTTGCCTCTTCGGACAATTCCCTCCGGGTCGTTTTCGGTTGCAAGAGCACTGGCATAACCAACCATGACTGCAATGACTAAGAATGCCATCACAATGTCAAGCGATACAGAGTACGATTTCGACCATAATTTTGATTTACCAAAAGAATTTCCAATTCTTCGGCGACAAGTCGTTACCTGCTGCCATTTGTTGTTTCCTCTGTTCATCGAATCGTCATCGTTTGCGATGCTCTCGTAAAGCCCAGCAATCATTGTACCGGTACAGTAATAGATTCAGATTCGATTAGATTATTGCCTACCGGTAGTGCAAGGAACATGAAATCGCTGCTGAGTTTTACCGACGATGTTCCATACGGTACTGGTACGACTACGGTAGGATACAAGTACTCGCACTTATACTTTTAGAAAAGCTGATACTGCTCATGGCACGATATGGTATGTACAGAAAGAGGACCCATCGTAAGGCTTCAATGCTTAAGGTCAGGAAAGCGGCTTGCAAAATTCAAATAGTCAAATCATAGGRGTAACAAGACTAAACAGACAAACGCAAAATTGTTGGCGCCATTTTTAAAACCATCATCGATTGATTGATTGTTACCATCGTGATGTACTTTCATAGATACGATACATACGATGAATATCGTATTGAATTTTGGCACGTGTCAAGATTTCCCTCGCGGTGAGAAGGAGAGGCCATGATAAATCGCTTTTATCAATAATAAAATTATTATMCAGAATCGAATATATTTTTCTTTCTGCGAGTGCGCGCAGAACACTCCTCTAAGTAATCCACCGGGCGGGACATCGAACACAATCGCAAATCACAAAATCTCGCCAAAACGGACATCAGCTCTGTCGTTCGATCATTCGCGGAAGTTTTTTCCGAAAATCGCCATTTCCTTCTGAACAATCACGTCGTATGGTCACTTTATTTCTCTCGAATGAGCCACATGCATTGATAACGCACCGTGTCTACTTTTCTGATTGTTAACACAAGGGACAAAGACAAATACAAGATCGTTTCGACACTGGAATCAAAAAGAAATTTCGTATCACGAGACTAAACAATGATGAAGGTTTCTTTGATCGCCTTGATCGCGCTATTGGGAAACGTCTCGGCTGCATCGGCGTCGGATACTGACGATGAGAAAAGGAGGTTGAATAAGTATTATCCAGTACACTCACCGACGTATCACTACCAMAATTATGTCACGCCTTATCCGACGCATCGACCCCCCACGCCGTATCCAACTGGCAGACGTCCCACACCAAGGCCAACTCCCCGCCCTACGCCCCACCACAATCCATATCCCAAGCCACAGAATCCATATCCCAAGCCACAGAACCCCTATTCGGACAACGCAGATCCATATGGTAAATTTACTCCTTTCCCTACCTATCGGCCGACGTCTCGCCCAACTCCCCACCCAACGAGGAATCCTACACAGCAACCCACATTTAGTCCAACGCGAAACCCTACCGATCGCCCTACGATGGAACCAACTCCAAATCCAACTCAGCCACCGACTGATGCCCCCACTCGGACGCCCACTCCGCCCCCAACCGGAGCACCCACTCAAACACCCCCACCCAGCCGCAAACCAACTCCGGCACCGTCTCCGGCACCAACTCGAGAGCCATCTGCGGAGCCAACTGGATACCCCTCTGCTGAGCCCACCAACGCGCCTAGCGGTGAGCCCTCCTCTAACCCCACCGTTTCTGCTGAACCCTCCAGTTTGGAACCTACACAGAGCGAGGCACCATCCGACAATCCAACTGCATCTGAAGAACCATCTGACAACCCAACTCAATCAGAAGAGCCATCTGACAACCCAACCCAATCAGAAGAACCTTCTGAGTTCCCAACTCAGTCCGAGGAGCCTTCTGCGGACCCCACTGGTAGTGAAAGACCAACCTTTATTGTGACCGAGACTTCTTCGAACTTCATTCCTAATCCAACTCTTTGTAAGTCCCGAATGACACTGCTCCAGAGCTTAACTTTTTCAAACAAGCGAAGCCCGAAGTTCTTGTTTTCGTCATCATTGCAATACTGATCCTTGGTTTCTTCTATCTTTTCTTCTTTTATACTATACCAACAAAATTACCAGACGATGTCATCTGCGCTAGAGCGAATCGGCAAGTCCTGGGAGTTCTGTGCCAACTTATCAACCTGTTCCCGGATGTTGTTGAAGCTCTCGGAGGACCACCGGCGCCGCTAGTCTTCCCTGTAATCGTTCTGGCAGAAATTCGCATCCAGATAAGATCCATCCTGCCTGTGMTGCCGGTAGTTGTTGTACCCGGTGGCAGAAAGCTTGAAGAGCCAGGCCAAAAAAGTCTCGTCACGGCGGCGCTCGAGCACGAGAACCAACGCCAGGCAAATRTCAACGTTGGAAGTGCTCTGCAGGAAGTTGGTCTCAACCGAGGTGCTCCAATTCTTCAAATCGATCGGACGGTTTTCGGTCCTACCAACTTTGCCTTTGCCCGTTTGGCAGAAGACGATAGCTTCGGTACCGATGGACTTTTCTTTTTCCTCTTGTCGGAGGAGAACTTGGCCATCTTGAAAGACCTTCTTCTCTTCCACGTTTTCAACAAACAAGTCCCCTTCAACCAGCTGGAATGCGATAAGTTTCTCAAGATGGCAAACGGTGAAACAACCCAGACAATTTGCCGAGATGGCTTCAAATTTCAGGTTGGTCCCGAAAACGATTCAGGGGACGAACCGAGGATCGTGGTTGCCAACCAGTTTGCGTACAATGGTGTCATTCACGTCGTCGACGAAGTTATTCTTCCATTGAACGGCACAACTGTTCCTTCACAGACTCCCACCATGGCTACTACCTTTTTCCCCACCACTACCTTTTTCCCCACCACCTTTGAACCAACAACAACAAGCCCTACAGGCCCCACCGATGTGCCTAGCGTTGCGCCCAGCGCCGCGCCCAGCGGTAGTCCTACCGTTCTTACATCCGGGGAAGCATCCGAATCCAGTAGCCTCACGTCAAGTGAAATAGTAAACGCTAAGGAAGCTCCAGAAGAAGCTCAAGAAGCAGCTCCAGAAGTAGCTCCAGGATCGACCCCAAGACCAACTAAAGCATCGGCGAAACAATCGAGGAAACAAGCAAGGAAAGAATCGACGAAAGATTCAACTCCAGATTCGCAATAAGTCGAACGACGCAGTTTGGGGTCACGAAAGGAAGCTCGCTTCCGATGGYAGGGTGATATGTATGAGCAGACGCAAACACAACCCATAAGAAAGAGCATGGCTGGCTGAAAGAAATTGCAAGTATCATGACGAACGACTAGCTCACCACAMGCAAAATTTTCTGATCACAAGTAGCGCCTCTTGTTTGTTGCTTTCCGAATCGATATCGTACTACTTCAATATTGAATGGACAGCATGCTATATGCTCAGAAAGTACACAAGTGTGATGCCACAACTACACTACTGCTACTACCACACC